AAAAAAAGATCCCCATCCAAACCACTACAATATTGGAATGCACATAGTAGCATGAAATTTATTAGGAATGAAGACTTCTGAGTTCTGGTGCAGTTGCGCATGCGGGGGTCATTATGTTACCGCTATGCGGTATCTAGTTTTATTTGTGATTTGTATTTCTTAGAATGAGAATTTAGAAATATATTTTTTAAAGAAATTAATAAACTTTATAAATAATTAAAAATAAATAAAAAATGTGTAGTGCTTAGTGTAGGTGTTGTTGTGGACAATGCTAAACTACTACCAGACCAAATTTTAGCTCATCTTTAAAACTGGCTGAATCAAAGCAATTGTTTTCTATTTTTTTAAGGTGAGTTGGTTGTCGCAGCTATTGAATTGATTTGACTCCAGAAGTAAATCAGCTTTAGATGTACATCTATTAATTACTGTCTGAAAGCTTTATTCAGTAGTTCCTATAATTTGCAAAATAGGAAAAAMAATAAACAAAACCTCAATCTGGCCAAGTTTTAAACAGTTCTTGCCTGATCATTTAGCTCTTTGAGTATAAGTTGGAGATCAGTTTTACCTCTTACTCCACCAAAGTTTAGCTAAATACTGATAAAGATTTAAGTTAGACAATTTTTTGTTTATTAAGTTTGCTTTGCTGAGGCAATCTGATTCAATGGGAATGTAGATCGGTTGTAGATCGATATACATGACTATACTATATCAAATGTCACTGCTCTCAGTGAAACTGAACTCTTGTCTGATAGCTCTACTAGTTTATTATTTCAAAGTAGAAGATAACAGAGATCAGAAAACACTGCGGATTACAGATGAAGGCAAGTTGAGACCTTTAACTGTTACACGTGGATAGCTTGTTGCCTTCAGGCAGATTCAAGTGTCCTGACATGATGCAACATGCTGCCCTTCATCAAACAGGCACTAAAACTGTACACAAATGTTACCTTCTGTACCCTTCAAACTCGCAGCCTAATACATCACTTTCAGCAAGATCAGACGTTACACTTCGTTAGGTGACTGGGGTACATCTAAATCATAACAACAGAAGATCACCTGTAAGTTTCAAATTTAGTCATTTATGACCCATTTGTTTTTATTTGTGACACAGGGGTGCAGTTGGAGTTGTCACCTCACAGCAAGAAGATCACGATTGCCTCTCGTTTTTCCAAGATAAGACAAAATGTGACCAAAACATTGAGCCAGCTTTTTTTTTTATTTTGCTTTGATATCAAGTTGCATGAAGAATAAAAGGTCCATGAAGGCCAATAAAAAATAAATTTAATGAATGAAGAAATTCTACAACTAAAGCCATAGCTACTTGCCAAAATAACATRCTTTGGTCTGGACAACAATGCAGCAATTACACAGTTTGAGTGAAACTGGACTGCCTCCSAAAAATCAAAACGATACAAAAGCCAGAACTTTCCTGAGGCATATAGTGTTTCTTAACTTTTTCGGAATCTGACCCAAGTGTGACGAATGCACCAGGCACACCCTACTTGACTTGGTTATGGCCTGACAGACCTCTCCTAAGTTTGACTAAGCATGAACTCTGACCTTCCAAGAGAGGCTTTGTGACCCCGTGCAGATCTATGGGATTGTTTGAGGACTACTGCTGTAAATTGCACATCACTTTACCTCACAATGCAAAAAGAGGTGAGCAGGTTTTGTTTGATTTTATAGAAATTAAATTCAGCAACAGTAGGCCACATTACAGAACAAAACCAGAACCACAAGTTCTGGTTAACAAAACTGTTGTGAGAACTTCAAAAGTCTGTACCATCTGTGACTCAACAAAACATCAGTATCTTGTGAAAACTGTTGGATTTTCCTCGTAACATCCCCCTTCTTCGTTGTGTTTGGAAATGTTGCATACTTGACCACTTTTCAACCTGATCTAACATGAAAGACTCAGCAGGTTGAAGATCCTGAGGTGGTTGGAAACACTGAGTAGGAGTTTCTTTGTCAGCTCTACAATGTGACCCATGTGTGTGTAATAGCAACACACTGTATTATATCATGCTAAGCGAGTCACAAAATATTTGTCATTGTAAGAAAAGCGCAGCTTGAAAACTATGAGTGGTTTAGCCACTTAGTGGGAGAAATACTGATTTCATTCCCTGCTGATGTTTTAAATATGACTAATTAGAAAAATATCAGTTTCTGATTTTTATGGTAATTTCATTTTAATGGAGAGAGACAGAATTATTACAATCCAAAAATAAATGATTATACAAAAGTTATAAATTAATTTTCACGTCACTGAGTGGAACACAAAAGTGTCCGATTCCTAAGCAAAATGTGACTTTGTTCTTTGTGTGTAAAACATTTAAACCTTAAACCTTAAAGTTGATCACTACGTTTGAATGCTAAATCCTCTTTGGAGAAACTTTCTAAGTCCTTTATCTTTGTTCACAGGGCAAGTTGAAACTTCATGGTAAATGATAAATGGACTGAACTTATATAGTGCTTTATCAAGTCCCGTCAGACTCCAAAGCACTTTACACTAACAGATATTCACCCATTCATACACACATTCACACACTTGATGATGGTAAGATACATTGTAGCCACAGCTGCCCTTGGGTGCACGAAGCTGCCATGCATGCACCACCAGATCCTGTGACCACTATCAGTAGGCAAGGTGGGTGAAGTGACTTGCCCAAGGACACGGCTGAGACAGCTGGAACGGGCAATTGAAATGACAACCCACCGGTTAGATACCTACCCTAACCACTCTGCCACAGCCACTGCTGTGCAGAGGTCATTAACATGCTTCTTATTTATAATAAATATGTATTGCCTAAGTGGTTTGTTTGGATCCTTTACAACCCATCTTCAGAGTACTGGTTAAGGGTGGACGGTTCTCATTCAAGGTTTTATGGTGCATTAGACCTCTCAAAGCAGTGATGTTGTCTTGTACCTTTAGCAGGAAAACAGACATAAAGCATAATGTTTCCATCTCTGTGCGTGACTGTGGAGATGGTGTTTTTTTTAAGCCATACTTAGAATTTCTCTTATTTCCAACACAGCARGTCAAGCTGATGCCAACTGAACTGCATTATGGCCTCATCTGATGACATAACTTTCTGCCTTCTCTGAATTTTTTAGATGTTCACTAGGGAACTCAAGATGGGCCTTCTTAATGAGRGGTCACTGCAGTCCATCACATGTAGTATGCAGTATTAATCCCTCCTTCATCATCAACCTCACCATTGAGATAAAATCTGGCATAAAGYTCTATTAAGGCTGAATAATACTCATTTTAAATTTTGTTCATTTTCAAATTATTACAGAGTTTCCACCTTCTTAGCTACTGGYTCATGATCTTTTCAAACATGTTAAGATTACCATTGCTACAAAATATGTGTATCTTGCATTCAATATGTTCAATGGCTGTTATTTTAAACTGCTATCATGTTTGAAATAAATTTGTTTGATTGATTGTTTGATTGATTGATTGATTGATTGATTGATTGATTGATTGATTGATTTTAAAGCTAATTCCAGCAGTGTGCAGATTAATTACCATGTCCCTGATGTTCTAATGGTTGCTCTGAGATAGATGAGAGGTTGAAAAAAATATGGATGGGTGATTTATACCAGGTTGTTATGTGAATATATTGGTGGTGTCCTGATACCAGCATTTTTACAAGTWCTCGTACAAAATGCCCCAATACTCAGAMC